GGGAGCGTGGTGTCTCGGTGTCGGTTTGCTTCCCTCTGGCCAAGAGCTCAGGCTCTGGGTTCGGATCCGAGCCGGCCCAGCTGGCCCATCGCGTCTGCTTGGCATTCGCTTGGTCACCGTGCCAGCCTCGTGACTGGGTTTGAGGGGGGCTCGGGAGTGCCCAGTCACCACACCTGGGACCCACAGAAGGGTCTTTGTGATTTTAACCACCATGACCCAGTCCGCTCATACGAGAAGTGGGTCTTGTGAGGGTGGGTCCCTGGGACAGGCCTGACAATTTGCACGTTTAAAAACCCTAATATGCTGGGCATGGTGCCGCACGCCTGTGATCCCAGCCCTGGGAAGGCTGAGGCAGGAGGATCCATGAGTTCGAGGCCAGCCTGGGCTCCATAGTGAGTTCAAGACCACCCTGAGTACATAGAGAGACCCTGTCTCACGAAAATAAAAATACTTATATAAACTCCACCAGCGTGTTCTAAGTGCTTTCTAAATATTAGCTCTTTTAACTCCCACATGAACCCTGTGGGGCAGCTGTTCTCATGGTACAGAGAGTGAATTAGTCTTAGCAGAAGTGAAGTGACTTCCAGGACTCACACAGCCAGGAAGCAGAGGGGCTGGACTTTGAGTCCTGCCAGCCCCCTGCCTGGCTCAGAGTCTTCGGGTCACAGTTTGGGGGTGGCCTGGGGCTGCCGTGTGTGTTCTGCGTGCTGGGTGAGCGTGCCCCAGTGTCAGCTGCTGGGTGACATCACTTGGTGAGGACTCGGTGGCCATCACCCCAGGTGGCCCCAGGACCCTGTTCCCAGCATTTAGCACTGTAGCGCTGCCCCCCCCCCAGCACCGCCCTGGTCTCCACAGCTTCCCAGGCCAGGTCATAAAAGCAGCTGCGGCTCGGCCTGGCCTTTCTGCTGGGTCCTCTGTGAGCAGAGTCGGCAGTGAAGAGGCTCCCATTTCCCAGCCGGCCTTAGCTGACTGCACCAAGGACCCAACCGGGCCCACTGCTAAGTTGCCCTGGAGTTCGGGCTGGGAAACAAACTGAGTCAATAAATGTGTGCTTTGCAGACCCAGAAGTTTGGGTGATTTGTTAGCAGCGACGCACGTGAATTCCAAGGCCCTGGGGTGGCCTGGTGACCCCACAGGTCCCCCCCCCCATTCTTTCAGGCCCCGTGTTTGCCCTGCAGTTCTGTCCCTCACAGAGGGGAGGGTGGCTGGGCAGCCTGTCGTGGGTACTGAAGGGTTAAATGCTCTCAGGGAGCACTGAGGAGCCCTGGGGTGGGTGCAGTGCGCTGCTGAGGGAAGATTGCACCATGTAGGAGGTGAGGTAAGGCCACAGGCCCTTCGCCGGGGGCAAATGACCATCCAGCCTCCACTCCCGCCTGCCCCAAAAGAAACTTGGGAAACACAAAACTATGTTTGGAATGTGATGTGGAGCAAGCCAGAGCTTATTCAAACACTTCCACAGTGGTGAATTTCAAGGACCTACCATAATGAAGATTTGCCTGCAATTATAGTCCTCCTGGGAAGTAATGAACTAGCCTTTCAGTTTATACATCAGCATCTGGTGAGGTTGGCTGATGGGAGTCAGTTCCCAAGACCTGATCACTCCTGCACAAACTAGTGAACACACAAAGCTAAGACCAGAGCCCTGTCCTTGGGGTGATCTCCACTGGTTGACACTTGTCTTGTTTACATCAGCTTGTGGGGGGTGTGTGTGCTGAGTCCTGTTTTGGACAAGGGCAATATTCAAAATATTCAGCAACTTCCTCTGCTCATGGAGAGTGGCCATGAACAAGGGACACCGGCTGGCTCACGGGGACCTGGAGCCTGTGGCAGTCAGAGGTTAACCCTGTTTAATGCTGGGAGGCCGGCCTAGGTGGGGAGCTCAGAGCTGCTGGGTGGCAATATAGGCAGCTGATTCTGTGACTTGGTATCCTCAAAGCTGGACAGAGGTGGCCCTGCCTGTGTGGCCACCCCTACCCATAAATACGTCTCTCTTTGGACGGGTAGGGCTGACAGGCAGGACACAGGGCGGTGGCCTCCGACACCAGAGGATGGAAGACGCAGGCGAGACCGCTCCTCCCGGCCACGCCGTGTGCCTTCTGTTCTCACAAACCCGGTGTCCTTTGTGCCCGTGTTCTGTATCCCAAGATGGTAACAGATCCAGGCACGAAGGGACCCCGGCCGTCCAACCCGAGGCCCCACACTCACGTCCCGAGTCTGGGCCCTGCTCGACCTTTTTGTCTTTTCCTTTCGCTCTGCTCTTCTGGTTGCTGTTCTTGGTCGCCACAGCCGCCCCCTCCTCCTCCTGCTCCTCTTCCTCCCTGGGCTCCTCCGCTGGGCCTTTGGGTGGGCCTGGCACGAAGGCAAAGGCTGTCAGCTCCTTAGCCACCCACTTGGACCCCCACAACTTGGGAGGGCCACGCCCATGCGGTCAGAGCCTCAGAAAGGCTGAGAGATCTTCCTGGGCCCACACTGCGGTCAGGATGACCCCGCGTTTCCCTTGTAAAGACAGGATCTCACTATGTAGTTCAGGCTGGCAGCCTCAAACTCACAGCAATCCTCCTGCCTCAGCCTCCCCAGTGCTAGGACTACAGGCGTGCGCCACCACGCCGGGCTGACCCTCCCCCCATATTTCCTAACCTGGCACTGAGCCACCTGTTACAAAGGTTCCCAACTCCCACCCCAGGGTTCTCGCAAGATGTCACAATGTCGGAGGTCACTGTCACCCACCTTTCTTCTTCTTCTCGGCAGGGCCTCCTTCCCTGACCAGGAACATGGCAGCAGGGCTCTTCTTCTCTGCTCCGGCCAGGCTGCCCGCGGGCTCCCTGTCGGCCTCCGCGGCCTCTGTGCGCACGGATTTGAAAGGGTCACAACCTGCAGCAGCACAGCTTGGATGCCTTCCTTCTGGGGTGGACTCACCTTTCTTCTTGGTCTTTTTCATCTTAATGCCATCCCCAGCTTCCTTCTTTTTGATGCCAAGAGGCTTCTGTGGAGGGTTGGGGCACCCCAGGTCCCCTGGAAATGGGAGTTGGGGACAAAGAAGGGGTGACTGGGTCTGTACCGGGCTTTATGACCCCTTGTCCTTCCTCCAGTCCTCAGGGAGGCCAAAGGCCTGAAAGGGCCCCCTGCCTGCCTCCTGCTTTTCTTGTGTTTCTTCCCTTTGAATTCAAGAGTGTGCTGGACAAGCCCAGCACTGTGGTGTATCTATAATCCTAGCACTCTGGGAGGCTGAGTCAGGAAGACTCCAAGCCCAGCCTGGTCAATTTAGCAATTTAGTGAGACTCTACCTCAAAAAATAAAAATGAAAAAAAGGGCTGAGGACATAGCTCACTGTGAAGGCATTGAGTTCGGTCCTCAGTACCCTCCCCCCAAAGCGCCAGAGAAACGCGCTGGGAGTTTAACAGGCAATTAGTGAATGAAGAGTGACGCCAGGCCCTCCAACAGAGCCTAGGAATCTCGCCCATCCACCTTCTGCTCCCGGAAGGAGACCGGGGTTCTAGGTGTGGGGACACAGACCCCCACGCTGGCTGGCAGCCAGCAGCTGTTAATCACTGAATCACTTTCACATCTTTATAAAAATTGTAACGTGAAGCCCGGCGTGGTGGCGCACGCCTGTAATCCCAGCGCTCAGGAGGCTGAGGCAGGAGGATCGCTGTGAGTTCGAGACCAGCCTGGGCTACACAGTGAGTTCCAGGTCAGTTTCACTACATAGTGAGACCCCGTCTCAAAAAAAAAATTGTAACACGAATTCACACTGAGTTATGAAACCAAAAGTCACAAAAGCCCTCTGCCTTCCCTGGGCTCCCAGAGCACCCTGGGCAGGGCGGGGGCTGGCAGGGGTCTGGTGGGGGGTGTGGCGCTCTGTCTCCCAGGCCCAGGGTGGGGGCCCCAGAGGGGGAACCCTGGGGTCAGGTCAGGGGCCCTGCTAGGCCTTGTGCTGAGACCCCAGCCCTGGGCCACCCCACTGCGGGCTGTGCTCCTCGGGCCTCAGCACCCACCCCTGGGGCCCTGGGCCTCGGCCCTGCTGTCCCTTTTGTCCCCGGAAGCCTTGTCCTTCGGGGGCTTCCTGGCGGGCACGGGGCTGTTCTCTTTCTTTTCCTCGTCCTCTTCCTCTTCCTCCTGGTCGTTGTCTTCCTCTTCCTCCTCCTCCTCCTCACTGCAAATGGAACCTCCTCTTAGTGGGGGTGCAGGGCCCTTCTCTGGGAGCCCACTGGGCACCAGAGGGAGAGCTCCCTCTGGTTGAAAGGCAGGAAGGGGGTGACCCCATATCTTTGGGGTCCGCAGGTCAGGAGAAGGGCGGGCCGGCAGCACCTGGAGAGCCACTTCCCCCAGGCCCCGCCGCCCCGGTACCGGCTCCGGGCCCCTCGCTCCCCTAGACCCAGGCCTCCCTGGTGAGAGCGGGGAACAGGCGGTCTGCGCTGGCCTGCGGGGTCCCCCTGCCCGCTCTCACTGT